CCTCTAGATCTGATGCCCAATTTAATCGAATGGGAAAGAAGAGACCGACGGGTTTATTGTGGCTCCCAAAGAGGGACGGTGGCGTCCCCACAGCATTTGTGTGGACGCGCAGGTGTAATTACATTTTTCGTCTGTTAAAATACAAGATCATGCACATAATTTTGGAACGAGAATAAAAATATTAGGATGATTTCCGGACCCTCATTTCAGTCTTTCCTTTTGATTTTTTTTTTATAACGCCCCATGATTCAAAAAAAAATCCAAAATCCAAAATAATATTTTTATTTAACTCATTTATAATAATTTTTAAGATTTTATAATATTTTTATTATAATGGTCAAAATACACAAACTAATTTTTGTTCTTATTTTTAAATTATTATAAATATTAATCAGAATACTAGTAAGATATGTCAAATGGTTATGTTTTTATTTCAGTTGACTCATTTCTATTATTTTTAAATGTTTGTAGAATTTTTATTATGGCAAAACACTATAATAAATAAAAAATATTATAACACGTCAAAACACAATAATAGATGGAAAAAAAGACAATGAGCTTTTTTGAGAGACTTTTTAGATTTTTTTGAATTAGGAGATATTGTTTAAAAAAATTTTAAAAAAAAACGTCTTTTAGAAAAGATGATCGGATTTATTATCTCGATCATAAATTTCTTGGAATTACTTGTAAAGAAACGCACCATCCGCACCGTCTCTCTCTTAGGAAGCTCGAAAAATTAGGGATTTCTCGGCGATCGCTCGATGGCAATGAGATTGGAATCGCATGCTAGATGATGAAAATAACGCATAAATAGTTAGATAGTGTCAGATGCATATGAAAGATTACCACAAAATTTCTAAATCAAACATCTTAGTTCCATAGGAAGAACGATCAAGTCAAGATGGGGATGGCTTTTGGGAGTTGTGGAGTGAACAAATGGGTTAATTTGAGCATTAGAAGAAGATTGCATCAATCCTGGGTTCCTGACCTTTATGGCCTCATCGAAGGTTAAAGAGCAAGTTTGATAGCAGTATATTAATGTAAAACTCCAAGTAACAATGCAGTGCAAAAGGTTGCCATCCATGGAAACTTGGAACTACACACAAACGCAATTGTGGTCAGAATTAAAGCTCCAGCCAATGACATTCATGTTAGATACCAAGGATCATAAAGTGCAACTAGCCAAAATCTTGTTACCAAAACTAGTCTCAGACCAACAAACACAGTATCTCAGAATTAAGATGATCCAACAAGCCAAAAATGTGCAAAATTGAAAAGAATTAATCTTTGAACTGGTTGGTGTTGCAGACTTTCCGTCAGTCAGGCTCATTCGTCCTCCTGGCTGCGCAGCCTTGCCAGCTTGTTGGTGACAACAATGTCAAGTTGAGCAGCTCGCTCAACGATCAACTTGCGCTTCTTTGTGGAGACATTGTGTGCAATTTCAGCACAGTAAGTCCTGAGAAATTACACAAGACATCTTGAATCAAAAAAATAAAACATGCAACAACATATCCATCTCCGGTGCAGTACTAATATCTTAAACCAACTAGTGCAGCAGCAATTAGGAAGTGCACCTGTTGTGCATCATGAGCAGCTCTAACTCAGCAACATTGTAAACCACAAGCTTCTTAAACCCATTTGGCAGGTAGTGGCGTGTCTTCTTGTCTGAACCATACCCAATATTTGGCATTAAGGTACATCCTTTAAATTTTCTCCTTACACGAGAATCAATGCCCTTAGGCCTGCGCCAATTTGGCTATAAAAACCAAAACATTTCGATCATAAGAAACATAAACAGTTAAAATAACCATAATACAACCTTGTAAGAGCAGCAAAGAAAACTTAAACATGTTACGCTTTCAAAAACATAACCACATATAGAGGCAATGCCCTAGCCAAAGAGGAACGCTGGAGGAGGAAATGCTAGCAGCATTATGCAATATGAAAGAAAATGAGGTCTCTAAGATAAAGAAACTGGGCTTCCATTTCAAAGGGTTGACCCATTTATCTTAGTTGAGCATTCAAACTTCAGTAGACTGAAGTGCTGAATTTCAACCAAACATTTTGTAACACTAAAGTTAGTCAGTTCATTCGGAGGGATAACAGGGAGAATGGACCAGCATGTAGAAATTGTACACCATGAACAAGATTTCCTTTGGACAAACAACTTGGCACAAAAAGATGTTACTAGTTTAGATATTTTGACTACTCCAGAACATCCACAGTAAAAAAAAAATTCGAGTGCTGATTTCAGAAAGCTGAGATGGCTATATTCACAGAGTGATTTAAGTTTCAACTTAGTCTAGGCATGCTGAATAATTGTATTTCCCAGCATACATTCAAATGAAAACAATACATATCAAAGAAGAAAAAGAGAAATTTAGAGTACTGTTACTGTTGGTACTTAGCAACACACTCCAAAGACCAGGAGTTATTTGAAACCAGAGCACCAGCCACAGTTTCGGAAATTTTGCATGTTTCTACAAGCCCACAAAGTAGTCTGATTGATAGAATTAATAAGTAAACTAGAATTCTGTGATCACAGGAGCCATCTTTCTCATAAAAACAAACCATTTACATTAAAGCGCATGTAACGCAATATAATGTTTAAGCATTTACCTTAAATATGAGATCTGACAAACTTGAAAAGCCCGTTGAATTCTCAAAAGTAATCCAAAAGTATAATTAAGAATCAATGCAACATGTGATAGGATATCAGTCTTTAAGTTATATCAACTTTCTCCATGATTGAATATCACTACTCCACTGACTTTTGACATTTTTAGAAGAAAGAAAAGAGAATTATATCCTACCAATTCTAGTTGCATTAATCGAGCATTTAAATCTACAGTAGGTGAAGTCACTCAAAATTCGTGAGAGAGATAACAAGCTCTTGTGATGGCAACGAGATCTTTAAAGTCAAAGAAAAATATATATAATCATGTCTAGGCTTATCCACAAAAATTTAAACATTGTATAACAAAAGCTTGAGATATATCATGGAACTTTCAAAAGGATATATCCATTACCCCCTGCCTTACAAGGTATATATATGAAATTGTCCCAGACTTCAATTCTATGGCTCACAATCATAGAACCTCCACAAGGATGAAAAAAAATACTCAACAGTAGAAGAAATAGACAGCAATAGAAATTTCACTTGGACCATGAAAGGAGAATGCACATGGCGGTTTTACGAGGCATTTTAACCTATTTTACCAAAAAAAAAGCAACCCTAAACAAAAATTAACTATCTAAAAGAAGAAAGACCATTGTCATTTTACACGATTATTTATTGAATTTTACATGTTCTTCAACATGTCACAGCGATGGTCTTACTACGAATGGCCATGCATTTCGGTTGATCTTACAAAATCCTTAACATGTTATTATCACATATCATCTGTCATAACCAAACTAGCGGGAGACGCAAACAAGTGCTGCTAGACACTGACATAAAGCAAAGTGAAAGCAAACAAATCATGTGAACTATAGAACAAATGCAACAACCTAAGATCACAATCTACAAATGAACTGCAATCCATCAATTAAACTTCAACTCGCAACAGTTCATAAGGAAACCAAGGATCCATCATCAAAGCAATCAAACCTTTACATTAAAGGAAGCCAAGGAATCAGATAGAATCGATGTTACCTTCACGCAGATTTTGCGGTCGCTCTGGGGCCTCTTGAACTTCTTGACACGCTTCTTGACAATCTTCTTGGTGAGCAACGGAACCGCCATCTATTGTTGAATAGATAAAAACGAAGACAGATCAGCATTCTTAAACCAAAATGCAACAAATCACCGCCACCAACCCCAAAAGGTTCGATTTTTCGGCCAGTCCAAGCGTCACAAGAGCTAAAGACAAGTCGGTAGTCAAGGATCGGGGAATGTTACCTCGGGCCGGCTAGAAGACCACAAGATAACGCGACAAGCTGCACGCAAAAGATCAATCAGGTGAAAGATAGTATTAGCACCTCAGGAGCAGGCAACAGCTCCAGAATCAAAACCCTTAGAGATAGGAGGTATAGGGCGCGAACGATGGCCACTCACCACCGTGCTTCCTTGTATCAAGCCCGCCGTCCCACGTACCTCGGCGCTAACCCTAAAAGAAGGTTTGCGTAGCGGGGATTTATAGATACCATCGAACGCTTGCGGAGTCCATCGATGCCGTCCATTTGGCCCGCATCGCCTGATACTGGATGAATCACCCTGCGAGGTTGCGAAGAGGCCCCACTTTTTGGTTCTGTGAGAGGCCACTTCATTCATGAAATGGATCCGGGTGACTCAGTTGACACGTCAGGTCGATACACCCCGGTAATTTGTCAAAGTCCCATCGCAGCCGTCCATTTGGCTCTCGTCGCGTGATACTAGGTGAACAACCCTGAAAGTTTGCAAAACGGCCCCACTTTTCAGTTCTGTGAGAAGCCACTTCATTCATGAAATGGAGATCAGATCGATACACCCCTGAAACTTATCAAGGTCTTGAGCACCCGATCGAATACAAGCATTGCAGCAGTTTGCAACGACCAAAAAGAACATTACAACAGGCGTAGTTTCCGCTATTAGGAATTAGAATCCTTCGTCAATAACTATTCAAATCTTCAGCCGTTCCTTTTTTCTTGATCCTTCTTGGTTCTCAAAACAAAATAATTCCAGGATTTGCTATCTCATTGGCTGTTGATTCAAGAGGAAACAGGGCTCAAGAATGGGTTTCGTGGTTGATTTCATCATTCAATGTCACACTCTAAGTTAACTAATCCATCAATTTCATTTAAACTAAAATTAATAATAATACATTCGATTCTTATAAATCAATCTTAAACTTTTTTTTTATTTCCAACGTGGACTACTCAGGAATGTTACTTTTATGCTATTAAGAGAGAACAGACCATTAACATCAACATCATCTTATAAATAATTACGAAGAATTAACTAACAAAATGATTAATATGCACCACACTTCGAAATTTGAGGTCTAAAATGCATCAAAGAGTAATATGCAAATCTAAAAGAATTTTCTTTTGGAACTTAAGGAAAACATTTACACAAGAAACAGTTGCACAAAATATAGGCACATAAAAGAAGAAAGACAGCTCTGGAACTAATGTTCACATACTCTCGAGAACCAACTCTTCAGTAACCATATCTCAGAGATATCAATGGAACAGTGTCCTTGAAAGGATCTCTAAAGGGAGGAAATATGTACATAATATGTACCTTATTCACTCAATTTCATGGACATCTAGCAAGAATAGTGTAGGCGCAATGTCCGCTTCCATTTGTCTAGAATCCCAGCAGCCTTCCGACGTGCCCTAGAAGTACCATTCTGAACCAGTTGAGAGATGATTCCGTTAGAGTCCTCCTCTTCCCCAACCTCCCTTAGCCTTTTCCGGTCATACATGCAGATTGAGTAGAGAACGGCTACTGCATTCTCTTTGTTTCGTGCACATGAACTCTCCCTTATGATGCTGAGCAGACAAGGAACTCCACCAGTCTCAGCAATCTCCTCGATAGCCTCTTGGTTGCTCGACAGGAGTGCAAGGATAGCCAGTGACTCATTCACAAGTGAGCGATCAGTAATAGCCTTTAAAACTACCCCCAGCACACCGCCACTCACTGCTCTTGCTCTGTTCTCATGAGCCAAGCACAGGCTGAAAACAGCAGACCCCGCATCCTTCCTGGCAGATGAACTGCCTTGTTCCAACAACTCTATAAGTGGTTTCATTGCCCCCAATTCACCAATCTTGAGTTTGTTGGAATCAAGGGCTGATAAGCTGAAGAGAGCTGCTGCTGAATTGCTACATGTCTCGATTCTTCCAGCTTTCAGAGCATCAATAAGAAAGGGTATGGCTTGCGGGTTGTCCCCGACAATCTTCTTATTGGTTTCATTGATCGAGATGTTCAGAATTGTCGTCACAGCATCCTCTTGTACTTTTGGGTCAGCACTCAATTCAGGAATAGAGGGAACAGCCAACAATTGGGAGATTGCATCATCATTTTCTCCAATGAGGGCTCTAAAGGATCTTTTGCACTTCGTGAGGAGTCGAAGTTCGCTTAAGGCTCGCTTCTGTTCCATAACAGAAGAGGGTGAACAAATCTTTTGGAGGAGCCCATCAAGCACATTCTTCTCCGTAACCGTGATTAAACCTTTGTCTTCATCTTGCTCATTATCAAGTGGAGGGAGGGAAACATCATGTTCTATGCACCATTGGGAGATCATCCTATGGACAAGGTGATTAGGGGTGAGGATGGTGTTTGGCAGGATCTGATGTGATTGTGGACAAGTCCGGTTCCCAGAATTCAGCCATTCCTGAATGAATGGCCGGTCATAGGTCTGCAAAAGGATACAAAATGCACACCTATCATTGATACTGAAGAAAGGAACAGGACATCATCATTAAGATTAATGTACATAGCAAGCATGTCCCAGAGTAGCATCTGTGGTGTGCATGGTTGTCCTGTCAACAATTTTCCTAATAACTATTGCCAATTTGATGATGGAATATACTTGGTATATCAATTTGATTTAACTTGAGGAACTAATATGCCCAAGCTAAGAGATCTGGAGGACTTTTATAATGCAGAAACTAATAGATTTAGGGACTAATATGCATTAGTATCTATCTCATTATCTCATTGACCGCAAGAAATCTAATGGTTGGGAATAATTGAAAAACCTAAATATCAAACAATAAGAAATTTATAGTAAGACAACCAATAGTGAACGTTTAACTTGGAGGACTTTTATAATGCAAAAACTAATAGATTCAGAGACCAATATGCATTCGTAGCTATCTCATTGATCACAAGAACTCTAATGGTTAAGGATAATCGAAACACTAAATAACAAACAACAACAAGTTCACAGGAAGACATTTAAAATTGAACAATAGCTTTTTTTTTTTCAAGAGAAGATTCAAAAATAATCAGAAGTAACCTTTTTTTATTTTTCTACTGCAACTAATAAACTTATCAGAGACAGGATGAGAACTAAAGTACAATGACTACATGAAGTCCTGCAAAAGTTCCAAACACAGAGAGCATAAATAATTGTATACAACTCAGACTAATAATTAATTTTGATGCCAAAATGAACCAATTTATTCAAAAGATTTACAAGTCTAAGGTTACATAATGCATTGTTCCCCCTTTTTTTCGACTTAAAAAATATATATATCACATACGATATTTATGTTTTGTTATTATAAGGTGGTAGGAGATGCAATCTCTCCACAAGGTAAAGTCTTTCTTATCATATCGTGTTCTGTGAATATAGATGGTATGAGATGCAATCTCTCGACAAAATACGGTCATTGATACAAAATGGAGCATCATTTCTTAGCTAAAGAGCAACACGGAATTAACCGAGAAAATATCAAAAGATAACACAGAAAAAGAAATCTCGCAGAAAATTCCAGTTCGAGAAACCCAATCAAACCGTAACGATTCTAATAAAAAGATTGTAAAGAAGCAATTAAACTTGAACTCGATATCTCCAAAACCCACCGACGTAAAGATTGCAAGAACAAAACCCTAACCCTAGATGTTTTAGACCTGTCCGGAGGCCAGGACCACAGGGTCCTTCATCAACTCCGACGATATGGGGCACCGGAAGTGCTCGGGAACCGACGCCGAATCCATCCTCTCATCCGTTCTCCACTGGTTCGCCAAGGGCGACCGCGGCGTACCGTTGGAGCCCCCGCTCCCGGCAAAGGTGACCTGTTTGAGCGCCGCGAGCACCCTGGCGGCCTCCTCGTAGGTCCCAATCTGCCCATCGTCCTCCTCAGCGATCTCCCTCACCAGCCTTTGCAATTCGTTCTTCAACTCCCCTGCCGCCGCGGCCGACACCCCCGGCTTCGCCATCGCCGCCGTCCCTACGACCCCATTAAGGAAGGGTAAGGCCATTCGATATACTATGGTTTCTCTGCTCTCTTCTCCTCCTCGGCTTCGCCTTCGTCGTCGCCTCCCGCTTCCTTCATATCTCTCCTCTTCGGAGATCGAGCGAGAGGAGACGAAGCCGAAGCCGAATTCGAGAGCTCGTCTCCAATAAATACATATATACGCAAAAGCATTACTATTCCTACCTGTTTGTGTCTGCTCGCCGTCTCACCTGCCTTCTGGTTGCACAAAATGGTGAGGTCCACGAGCAACTCCTCGAAATGTAGTAAAGACGGGTGCGAGTTAAGTAGGTCGAAAAAAGCGTTCTTTTGTAGTTTAGTTCCTTTCTCTGCTAAATGCTTACACCGCTGAACTAAAGTGTATATATTGCTTCGCCGGAGCAGGATAAGAACCTCCCTTATACGATGAAATTTACACAAATAACCACCATAATGATTGGAACGGTTTTATAACAGAATAAAAGTGAGGGAATCGGATAGGCTAATCTTATTCTGACGGAATACTTGGGACAGAGGGGTAAAGGGACCCACCCACACGTCATAGCGCTGCTGGCAATTGTTTTGCATTTATAACACCATATTAAATGAGATTTGTATCGCCCTATTTTTTGAGATTATGTGAAATTAGAAATTGCAATGGGATTTGAGTAATTGTGACTGTTCACCTTCAGAATCTTAGTGAGATCAGAATTGTTCATGACGAGGAATTATGATGGAGATTATGTGAGGAATTATGATGAGGATAGAAGGTTTCTTACTTAGGAATATAATGATTATTTTTAATTTTAATGATAAATTAATTGTTTTATTTTATTTTGTTCATAATGTGTCATTTCAATTGACAATTAATGCTAATTTTCCTTGTTAGGCTATTACGATAAAAAAAACCCTAATTAATAATTTTAGTTTTTTAATTAAAATTAAATTTAATTTTAAGGGAATAGATAATTAAAATTTTCAATGGCCATAGTTGGTGTTGAGCCATGGAATTTGTTCACCTAAGAAGCTTTGATCGTAAAATAATTTGTTTGGAATCAAAATTCTTGTATATTTGATAAGAATTTGATTCTTTGATTTTTATTTGGATATTTACTATAGAACTTACATCAAAGTTTAATCTACAATGTTCCAATTCTATTGATTATGAATTGTTATTATATCATGTAATCAAATAATATTGTAGGTAGGCATATCAAGATCGTATAATAGATATCTCATACTATATGAATCATACCTCACGTCATATGAGTTATCATCTCAGTATCGTATGATTGATATCTTAGCATTATATGATCAATACTTAAATATCTCAATACCATGTGACTGTGACCTTATCATCGTATGATTGATACTTTATTATCATGACTAACAACTAGAACATGATAATAAGGTCAAACGAATTTATTATATATGAAGTCAAACACAATTTAGTATAGGATAAACATACAAATCTCTCATATGGTAAAGAGAACCGATTATAAAAGGACTCCTCGATCCTTGAACACTTAATAATAAATAATAAAATAAATAAAATAGTATATTTAAATAAAAATATTATATTTATTTATTAATAAAAAAAATATTAAATAAATCTAAAGTTCACTAAAACTTGGACTCTTAATAATAAATAAATATTAAATAAATCTCTATCCGATTTTAATTGAACTAAACAGACTAAATAAATAATTGGACTAAACAGACTCAATAAACATTATCAAAAGCTCAGAAAAAAAAATCCTAACATTAATAAATAAATATTAAATAAACCTCTATAAACACTTAGATATAAATAAAGTTAAGCATTGAATGATAAAATTTATACGGTTTGACCTTTTTAGAGTTGAACAAATGTATTGTTAGCTGATGTTAAGAGATTATACTGAGACGAACACAAAAGAAAACACAAATACAAATACAGATACGGTATTGAATACTTGCCGCAACGATAACAAAAGCTACCCTTCGACACACGCGTCACGAAACAAGAATCTCGTCATGTGCACCGACTCAATCACGCGTTTTAGCGTACAGCTCCATGAACTCGGCCGTCGATAGATTCCTCTTCTAAGTGCGCCACCGGCAGTGTGGCTTTGCGGCCACCAACATGGCACGTAGAGTTGAGAGCCATAGTCGAGTGATGGGTTTTGGCTCTTGCGCTCATACCGCGCACCACCGCGACTCGTCACCAACCCCCCGATTTGGACTCGCCACCGTCTGCGCTGCATTATGGCACTTGCCATGTCTCATTATAGTAGCAGCTTGCTTGAGTCAGCTACCGTGGCCTGTTGGTATGTGGAGGACGAACACAAGAAACATATCACATTTAACGATGATCAGATGCAACAATTTGGATCAAAACTGAGCATAAAATTCTGTCTTCAAGTCTCATCCGCATCAAGTGTGATATATATCGTCTCTTTTATAAACAATTACATTGTCAAAATAAAGAAAATATAAGAGAAGTTTATAGGTTTGAATCTTTATATACTAAAGCAATTGTCGGCAAAAATCTTTAGTTTATATATATATATATATATATATATATATATATATATATATATATAACACATAATAAATATTCTCTCTTTATTCTTTATTCAAGTTATACGTGAATATTATATTCTCCTATTAGACCGGAGTATGATGGGCTAACTAACTAATAATTTTATTTGATTTAAACAACTGTTCAAAATACTTAAGTTGAAATTTTGTAGTACACTCGTCAAATCTTTATAAGTCAATCTTAGTCTTTATTAATTAATTAGGGAGAGTTACAAAAATATTACGATCCAAGTTTAATGGGATAATTAGCCAATAACTCTGTTTAGTGATCAAAATGCTTAAACTAAATTTTTTATAATATACTTATCAGTCCCTTATAAGTCAATCTTAAAATTCGTGAGAGATCATGATTATATTATAATTATGTTATTTGTGGTTATGGGATTGGTGAGAGGCTCGTGATGTACTGTATCAGCCATGTCATTAATTCCCATTGAAATTGCTGTTTGTGGGATTTCAAAAGTAGATAGATGGATAGATAATGACATGCCACGAACCTCACTCTGATCCATGACTTGTCAATCCACCATGGTCCAAATTATCCGTCAAACAATTCTTGCAGGCCATATGAATTGGGACCTAATCGACATGTCTAACTCCATGTGGTCCATCGCAACCATTTGATTCCCTCTGCGTACAACCCATCGGTTTTGTCAGTCTCATACTTAACCCACGAATGATATTATTTCCAGAGATATGAGATCGATAAGATTTATGGCTATTATCCCTAATCAAGCAGGAATTACCTATGAATTGCTTAATACGAGTCGAGATTGACATCACCAGCATTATGATCTATATCAAGTGAAAAGGATTTTGTTGGCCTAAATTAGATTGATTCATCTTATTCGATCACACTGCCTCTCTTTGATGAATCATTTATGTTAAGGAATCGAGTTAAATTGATTAATTCAAATCGAATAGTTTCTATTACAAATCTAATTGTGAATTTAAATGCGCATTATGTGGCATTTCCATCGATCACAGACTAAAATGTTGTCGATCTCATCTTGTTTTTTCATGGCCACAAACCATCATCGAGCAGCTGTTACGTGACAATGCATGTGCAAGTCATTTTCTCTTTTTTTTGTTTACTTATTATATTATATATATCGATCGATTCGGTAAGATAATTAAGTCACTTAATTATTCAAAATTTATCTTCATCTCAAAATACTTAAATTCGAGATAATAATAATACCCAAGAATAAATCAGGATATTATAATCTCTCTCATGCTTAAGGATTTAAGGTATGATGCAATATCATACTAGTTTTGATGCTATATATCATGACCTAACCCATGAACTAATTAACACATTAACTTGTTGAGCATGAATGATTAGATTAAAATACTTAATTGATACTTTATAAGTTCATCCAATTCCATTTCAAATGAAGGAGTAACTTTGAGTGTTGCAAAAGCTGCTTTATCAACACCCAGTACATTTAATCATCTTCCACACCTCTTGACACTTCAAGCACCTCAGAAATGTCTCCCAAATCATGTTGCATAAACAGACAGTAACAATGTGAATGGCATTAGTGGATTGGCCACAAGTGACAGCACCACTGCCAGTTGGTTGACAGTGATGTCTCACTGAACACTCGAGATATGGGAATTTAGCTTGCTCATCCATGACAGGGACCTGATGTTGGACAGTGAGGAAAAAGATGAAGCATCTCCAGCATCATGGAATCCAAGTATATGTCCATTACCTTAATCTTATTGGCAAAACATGGTCTACACAGAGACTAACATTCCTTAGAGATCCAACCTGATCTATGAAAGAGGGAAATGGCCAGAGAGAAATGCCTGTAGCAGATGTTCACTTGGCTTTTTCCTGTGGTCTGCATCTACATGTTGTTTTGGAAATTTATAAGATGTTGTTTGGGGGGGGCAAATGTCTTTAAGTGGATCAGCTGAAGCAGTGTCCACTCCATTGCAGACAGTACACTTTCGTTTGGCCTCTTCCCAGTGAAGGACAGGAAGAAGGAGAGTCTATCATGTCAAAAAGTTCAGGAAACAAAGCTGTTACTGCTTTATGTTTCAGATAGGGAGAGTTTAATCTCCACAGAATAAGATCAAAATGATCTCCAGCATAAGGGAAACCAATCAACATGCAGCAGCTACATGAAACCATTATGATTCTTCTATACATCTATGCAACTAGATAAAAGAGCCAAGATCTTAAGTAAGAATAGAAAAGATACATCACGAAGGGAAAGAGACATTTGCTGGTAATTCCAAGCTTCATGAGTCTTTCATGGCTTAGGATGATTGGAGTATTTGATAATACCCCACAGCTTGTGGAGTTGAAAGGGAAGAGAGGATACAGTCAATAGTACATGACTGATGGAATTCATGGCTGAGTACTGCAATCATGTTTAATGAAGGGAATAATTACCAACACAAAACTGTTCTCAAGGTGTTACGTTCCGGACCTGATCGAAAACAGAACATCACATCTGATGATTTTTAGTTCGATTGGCATCACATCAACAGGGAAAACACTCCATGATGCTTGTCCGAAAAAATTGCAGCAAGATGCAGTAATCCACTAACAATCATGGCCCTCATCCTTGTCTAGGTTGGTTCTGATAAGAAGAAACAAAGCATCAGTTATGGCTTTAGTTCACAGGGAAATCACTGGCAAGATAATGTATGAAGGTAACCGATCTAACATGACAGTCCTGTGAGGATGAGAGACAATGATTTAACTTGCTGAAAGGAATCTAATTCCACCTTTTTCTTCCTTCAATGAACTGTAAAGCTATATGGAAAAAGAATTCTGAACAAGGAATTTTTCAACTTGAGAGATACTTGTCAAATTCAAAAGCTTTTGCCAACCTGGTCATTTTGATGCTATTCTTCTCATGATAGGTCAGTCTATCTTGAGAGCATACAACTCGATCAGTATGTGAGTGTAGTACTTCTACTGTTAGGTGGTCCATACAAGGAAGGAAATACTTTACAGATTCTGTGGGAATATCTCCTATTCAAGCAGGAAGTACTAAGATGTAAAGGGCTTACGGATTCTCACTGCAGTCCAAAGTCCAAATATGCGATAGCGTCGAATCGCTGGAAGCAGCAGGAGAGTTGCAGCACACAATCATGAAAACACCTTCATGAACTTATGAACATGGCACTTATGGGAGTACAGAACCACATCTTCATACTGAAATCCTGCACCGTCTTGTTTTCATTTGTTACAATCTTACCTGTGCTTTTGAAAAGAAATCTCCACATCAATTACGAGCGCAGACCTAATGGTCATTAGCAAAAACTTCACAATGCTATTTCAAAGCACGTCTCATTTATATACGAAGGCTTTACTCTGAAATCACATGATCAGAGTTCAATTTTCATGCGACTAGTGTGCGTTTGGCCTGCATCAGATGATGAAATATCAGACTTACCCTAAAATCTTCAATCCATGAACTAGCCAAACAAATCCATTACCGTGCCAATTTGCTTACCATGGTTCTGCCCAAAGCCAGTCTGAGCAACACTCTGCAGGTCATCCTCCCAAAGACCCCCAAGCTGAAAGTTGATTAACATTTTTCACATGACACAACGTATTGTTTAAAGATTTTTTGATGATAAATCAGTTCTGTATTGAATGGGCTACGTCGTTTACCTGAGAGGGAGCATCTGTGTATGCGTCCGTGGTGGCATGTTGCATACTCTGAGACTGTCGTAAGGAGGATTGTAATGAATTCAAGGAGAATTGCGCTTCGAGACCGGATGTCATGACGCTCTGGAGAGCGATAGTCTGAGGCTGGTGAGCATACGACAACACTGTGCCTATCTCTGCCGGATAAACTGGCTGTGGCATCAGTCCACGAGATTGATACATCTGAATTTGCAGATGGTTAAGGCATACATTACTTGAGTCGATGAGTGTGGATGGAACTAGAACTAAGGAGATTGCACAAGCTTACATCTTTTGGCAGGAAATTTTCCATGCTAACATCCATCTGGGGATTCAGGGTGGTTAACTTCATGGATAGGAACTGAAACCAAGAAATTGGGTTCAGGTGAAAACCTAGATTACAAGTAATGCAAAGTTCAATCCGAGCACAATGTTGATACCTCGACTTGCCGCTGCAGTGACTGCACATAGTTTATGATCTCATCAAGCATCACAGCCTTGCCGGTCACCTGCAATTCCGAAATTATCATGACTAACTAATTACATGAAGCTAGGGAGTGATGATCTGAGATCTACAGAAGAAACCATTTTACCTTGTTGCAACCTGGCACAAGATCTTGCAGAAACTTCATCCTCTTACTGATCTTCTCTCTTCTAACCTGGTGGAAGAAGGCATTTTATGAACTCGGGACCAGTAAATTGTGAAGTGCAAGACACGGAGATGAACACTGAGCCACGTTTTCCTTACCCTCTCGGCGAGGCTGTGAGCATCAGTGGCTTGTCCTCTTCTCGCCCTCACATGGATGTAATCCTTCGGTGGCTCAGGGGGCTTGTGATCATTATCCTTGCCCTCGCGGTGGCCAGGATCTCCATTCTGCTCCGTCTTCGGCTTCACCGCCGCATTCTTTGCACCTCCATTTCTGTCAGCCGATTTGCATCTCTTTGCATCGGAGTTCTCCTCCTCTGTCATCTGCATTTGAGAGGAACATGGAATTAGCATAAAGATTGGCAAAAGAAGCAGAATTGTGAGTCAATTCAACCATACATTAGCCGGGGGATTAGTGGCAGAAGAAGATAAAGGTGCCTCCCTTCCTTTCCGCTTTGCCGCTGTCTTCCATTTCCCTGAATTGTTGTCTGCGATACCTCTCAGGGATGATGCCTCCGCCGTCATCCGATGGGACAACGACGACTCCTCCGGGCCATTTCCGAGCTCGGACTCCTCCGCTGTCGAAGATCCACCAATTGTCGACCTCATCTCCGTCTCCAGATGGGCAGGGCGTTCGCTCCTGCTCTGTCCAACTCCCACGCAAGACCCAAAACCTGCCTTGGGAGATTCGCTGCGCGAGGCCTCCGAAAGATTTCCGGGCGACAGGAACCCGAATTGGCCTGCGAAACTCCCGGAGCTCCTTCCTGCAAAGCAAGAAAGCCTTGCGGCGCCGTCCTCGAACCCCGGTTCGGCCGAAAGTGGCCCGAGATGGGGTCCGGGCACTCGATTCACCGGCATCGGTGGCCCTCCTCTTCCCTGTTGCCGGTGATCTATCACGGAAAGATTGAGTTTTGGTGGGGAATTCAGCGGAGTGCCGTAACAAGAAGCGTCAGCACTACGGTATCGAGAACTCGGCGAGATGTCGTTGGAGTTGCAGATGCCTCCCAACCGACCTATGAGCTCTCCGATACCGCTGCCGTCGGCGGAGGCCGGCGGGTTGGAGCACGGCGAGGAGACGAGCGAGCTGAGCGCCGACTCGAAGTCGGCGTCGTGGGCCATCGGCTGCTTCCAATTGAGGTGGAGGAAGCGCTGCGGCAACTGGTCGCTGGCGGCGGGCCCAGAATTCAACTCCGGCGGTAGTTTGGCACCGGTGGATTGCCATTGTAGGCCCCAAAATCCCTCCTTTTCCATTCCTAACACGTACAATTGAGCCGAAAATTTCGTCAAACGGCAAAGGAAGGATTTTGACGATAGAATTAGGCAGGTCAAAAAGTTCTTGAAGAGAATGAGGTTGTGGTGGTGGTGGTGGTGGTCGAAAATGTGCAGAGAGAGAGAGAGAGAGAGAGAGAGAGAGGCGCAAAACCAAAGGTAAAGAAGAGATCTGGATCGGTTAGTGGCGGTGACAAGATCTCAGGCTTCAGCTCACATCTTCTGGTTTCAGATCAGAAGATTAAAAGCACGGAGAGAAGAAAGATTCCAAGGTAAACGGAGAAGAAAGGATTGTTCCTTACTGTACCTCTTCAGAGGTTTCCTTCAGAAAACATCAAAACCATTTGAATTTGTATTTCCTTTTGACAAGTAATTAAAAATAATATCTTTTTAGATAAAAAAAAGAATATTTTTGATTCTTAATTATATCTCTCACATATTATTTGAAGAGCATGGGGGTTGGTAATCTTCTTGTACTTCTCTCTCTTCTTTTCCTTTCCTTTGATGCTTCAAGCTCAGTAACATGGCTTCTATGAACACACTCGTTGGGTTTTTGTTGACAGAACCACATGCCACCGGTGGAAGCAAAATAATATACGCATTTGACATGATTGGAAGCGAGCTTTTTGTACATCCATCCCCCTTCTTCTCCACCTCTTAATCAAGTCTACCAACGACTTGCTGCTCGAACCACTGCTCATGGAGAAAACCGAAAGGTTAAAGTTCCGGTGACTTGCTGAGATTTCATCCCTCATGCAATCATTGGAGTTACACAGGTCAAGAGTGAATTAGAAGCATCACAGATCAGAGTCGGATCTCTCTTCTCTTCAGCATCGTAATCATTGACTGCTCGCTGGGATCGAGGAAGGATTTATTTGCTGCATCAGGTCCGGAATCATTCGTCTATCGCTTAAGCGTTTGCGTGCAGTACGAGCGCAGACAAAGTTCACCATCCTGTAAAGGGAGGAATGGGGGAAAAAAGAAGGGCAGAGAAAGGAGAATGGCAAAAGAACACTTTTACGTGGTCGCATGTGCAGGGCTAAGCCATTGCTTTGGCCTACCTCTGAGAGTGACACAAGATGCTAATCCACCATGTCTCGTCCTTCTCCTCTTCCGCCCTCTCGCCATCCCTTCCCATCACTCTCCCGGGCCACCTCCACCGCCTCTTTAAAATGGAGCATCGTGATTCGTACTACTCTGGCCACCTGATCATAAAATAAAATAAAAAAATTAATATATCAAGATATATATATATATATATATAATTAAAAAAATACCAAATTTTTTTTTTAGAAAAAATTGGTTCGTTTGACTAATACATAATACATGATTTTTGATATACAATATCTTTTCATTATAATTTCGGAGAGACATTATCTCATCTCGCATGAACTACGTTATGCGATAATATCGATGTGTATAATTATACATATTTAATTTCTTAAGTAGGATCATATCGATCATCGAATGATATACCAACAAATACTAGTTTTTTTATGATAAAATATTATAATTAATTATAATTATTTTTGTGATTTAATAAAAAAAAGGTTTGCTCTCTTTTAGGGTTTTACTTATCTTAATAGGCATAGGGTTAGCTAGAATTTAGTCAACCTTGACTCAAATCTTGATTTGAGTTGGATTCAATTGGATTATTTGTCAACTTAGCTTGTGTACCAAGATCAGAGCCAAAATTGTTTAGACTATTAGGAGGAAAGACAAACCATAAGTTACATACATCAGCTAGTTGATTTGCAATCTCACACATTAAAAAATGAGCATCCATCAGTCAGTATATATTAACATATACAAAGTTCATATTTTTAGGACACAAATAGGCCAATAACTTGACCAAGAAGAAGCATTAGATATAGCTCACTTATACTTCTTGTCTGGTGTAATGAGCATTCCCATGCAGGCAATGACAGGCAGTCCTAATAGACAAATGGTGATCAACTCTGGTCCAGATCTAACACCTTAAACAGAGGGAGAACTGCTCTCCCGTTCCCCCAACACACCTTCAATTTTCCTATTTGCACTTCTTCAACTATACTGAAGCTATTGTCTGAAACAACTTATTTAATTCAGCTTCAATGATGCTGCTTTTTAGGTGCATGTATGTCTCAAATAAATCCATATGAATGCTTCCACCACTGGGTTGGAAATGAATCATTGTAATATATAAACCCATGTGTTCTTTGGCATTGATGTGCCCAAAGAGCTACAAAGATGGACAAGAGAGCGGACACTTGCCACTCTCTTGATGGTTGGGACACTCATAGATTGATTGTGTGTGAAGAAGTGGTACTCTTGGTGTGGGGGTTGTTCCTCTTCAGTGATATATATATATACTGCCGGAACTTGTGTTTTGGCTTTCTCTTTGGAAGCTACACATTTGCTTTCCAATTGATTGTTTTCTCAAAGGAAGTCATGGCATTGATCAAGAATGGGACAGTAAGAGTTCTCATGCGAGTCTTCAAGGAGAAATCTACAGTGTTACTACTTAGGATTCTTTTGATACAGATTTGCCTTCCATATCTGAGATTTATCAGTGGTTTGTATACAATTCCCTTTCTTCTTTTGGTGATTAATAATAGAGTTGATCAACAAATAGAAATAGGATTCATGGAGTGCGATTAGGGTTTGCAAAATCGTATCATACCGCTCGGTACGTATCGATCTGTTAGTAGATTGACACGTGAACCATCCGCTACCACACAGTATTAAGCTTTTGGCCCCGTATCGGGCGATAACGATCGAAATTTCGATGGCTACCGACCTGTACCGACTAATACTGATCAATTTTGAGAGTAAAGCTCTATCTCATTATATCATTAGATCCTAATTGAAGCATCTTTCACAAACAAGCCCTTGCTCCAAAGAAAAAGGAAGGGATTGTCTGGGAGAACCATGCACTGGTAGTCTATGACGGTTGGGTTTTGCCTTTCGTCAAGAGTCGATGGTTGGGCGGAGAAAAAAACTATGGATATGCATCGGGGATCGAGAGCCGATCATGGCCTAGGTGGAGAGAAGAGATCGCCACCGTCGATGTCAACAGGAGCTTCGAAGGCTATCAGAATCGATGAGGTTGACCGAGCTCTTCTCGATGTCGATAAGTATTGGAGAAGAAGAAGCCTAGGAGCGAAGCGCAATGCCATGACTGCTCAGGGATGCCAAATTTTAGGTGGGGACCAAATTGGCTTAATCCAAGTTGGGGATCAAATTAGGGAAATCTTCATTCACATCGCATTTGGATTAGGCCAAATTGTAGGTGGACCAAATCACATCTCTTGTGTCGAACCAAATTGTAGGTGGACCGAGCTACAATCTTAGAATTAATTTTGGATTAAGCCATGTTATGCCCATTTTTAGGCATACCGCTCAATATGTCATATTGAGCATACACTGATACGGAATAAGAAACGCATAGATCCTCTTCTGCAAGACACAAAAGCTTGGATCCAACAAGAACATGGTATTTAGTCCTGTGATCCATCGCATGGTTTGTCTGATCAAGCTTTCATATATCTCTCCTAATGGCATTCAATGTGTGACTGACACGAGACATATCTGAAAGCAGCACAAACATTGAACTTTTTTCTAGCACTTTCTACAAGAAAAGATTCATATTTTTCTAGGACCGAAAGAATGAGGTTGCCATACAACAACAAAGTCATAAAGAACGAGGCTCTGATAAGAACAAGAAATGATACACATGAAAAGGAGGTGAATCCCTGCATGCTGCTTCGCAGTTTGTTTGCAAAGGATTCAACATTGATATGGAAAGCAATTTGGTTAATTCTGCTGACTACAAATCCCTTAGCAATCCTAGAGAGTAGCTCATCTTCTCTTTTCTCCTTTTCTCCTCAATCAGACCATTCATCCCCTTCTTCACATGTCTTCCCCAATTTCTTATGTACTAACTTATCATGGTATATATCACAAGTATCACTGTTTCGGTGGGCAAGTTGGGGGGGTCACTGTTTTTTTAGCAGTGATGTTAGTATACAAGCGATGGCTCTCGAGACATCACATTTATTACAGCGGTTTCCAGAAAAAAGTCTTATTGCAAGAGAATATAGAGCTCAACAGGTCATTTTTAATAGACAAGATAGTGCTTTGGAAGATGAGAGTACAATGTCTATTAGCTGCATTATCATTTTGCGACATGCTATCTTTGAGAGTAAAGCAGCAATGACTCATCCCATCCCATCGGGAAAGGTTAAACTTATAATCTTAATAACAGTAACTGCAGCAAATGATCCCAAACAAATGAGAGCATGAGGTGTGTGGTTTAGAATTACCAGGCTGATATCAGATAAAATGACTTGGTATAGATGCAAATTGCCTCTCGGCAATTCTTGAACTCCAGAAGGTAGGTAGACGATGGCAGATATCCGTATCAACTTATGCAACCTCTTCTCTAGATGACTCAGCCCTTCGTCTGCGCATTTGAGCTCCCCAAGATAAGTTGTCTTTGGAACTGCCATTCATGCTTCGCCTTTTCAACTCTGTAAGCTGATCCTGCCAATGGTTTCTCCAACCTGATCTCTCTTCCGGTTCCTGTAAAGAAGAACAATAGTGATACAGCATCAAGACTAAAGTCAGAAAGCTTGAATCATAAAGGTAAATGAAGAATGATAAAGACAGTAACATTGTTCAGTGAAACACAAGATCAGCTCTATGGATGCCAATAACTTTAAGAACTTAAATTTGTGAAACAGGTTCAATAAGATTCAGAAGGTACCTAACTATAAAAATCATTCTAAATATACTCCTGGATATGACCAAGGTCCTACAGAGTGGGAAATCAGACTCATCTGAAGAATAATATCTACAGATCCTACGACTATGCGAGAACAGTTTGCTGATCGGATGGCAGATAAACAATTAACACTTTTCCTTACAGCCTAATCCACCACTTTGCTACAGGGAGTCACTCCCTGTTTCAAGTCTGTGGTCGAAAAGGAAAAAAAAAATACTTTTTCCTTTTTCTTTGGGAAAATAAATAACAGATAGTTAGAACTCTACATCACAAAGAATATCAAATAGTACCGTGATTCTATAGTTTAGCTAAACCTGGCAAAAGTTTTATTGATGTAGTGGAAGATAACCCATTTATCAAGATTACACTTTTGTATGGATTCACAGCAATAAAATAGTTCAGAATTAGAAATTCCATGGACCCTAGACTCCTCACATTTCCTTGTAAGATAAAGATAAAACTCACAGACGAACTGTACACATCGAAAGGCAAGTCAACCATCTTCCTGTCCCAACAGCTTCCCTCACTAAAAAGCCAAACAAAAGCAACCACAGGACAAGAATCAGCTGAAAATTCAAGCTGAGATATTTAAGAAACATAAAACCTCAATAGAAGAATGATCTTCATGAGGTTGAATCCCAAATGACTGGATTAGTATTTGTTAGTTTGTGCAGACCCATCACAAGCATCACAATCTGTATATCGATGGTGTTATACCTAATAGGCAGGAATGACAAAAAAGACACAAATTATAGACAACTGGGATGTACTTAAGGAATGGCAACAGGCTAGCATGACTTGTAGAAGTATCCTTCTCCTCACAGCAGCAAAGAGCACGTTATCTGAGCTATAACGTACTAAGAATCTTCAGTAACTTGTTATCATTCAGTGACCTTCTAGAAAGTGACAGGAAACAGATCGGACGGGACGAACATAAATTTGGGAACAAAACCATCCTCATAAGGTTTGACATTACGATCAAGATTAGACACACAGTTCAACCATTTCATCAGCCTATTAGATCTTACTAAAACCTTTTGACAAATAGCCAAAGTCCAACTGAATCGAGATCAGCAATTCCACGATTAAAAGAAGAAATTTCCAATTCCGGCGGCCTAAAACCATCCAAAATTACTAAAACCTAAATGCTAAAAGAAAACGACCGAAAAAGAAGGACAATTTACTCAATGTTTTGGCAACTAGAAAGGTCACAGCTTTAACAAATCTCTCACGATCGAATGGCATGAGATTAGCTGCTTAAAAGAAACAATGTCGAATTCACCAAAATACGCAAGCTAAGAAGAGAAACCGGACCAAAAGATTGCAACTTTAGCAAATCATTCTCGCAACGCATTCGATTGACATTGAAAGGGTACCCAAAGTATCAGCTTTGTGAAGAATTGCAGAGCCTAGAAGCAAGGAGAACACAAGCGGACCTCGTCGAACCGGCAGCGACTGGCTGAGAAGGCCAGAGGCAGACTCCTGGTCAGGTCGCGGTCGTAGATCGCGCGGCGGCCCGGGTCGGACAACGTCTCGTAGGCCTCATGGACCTCGATGAAGCGCCGAGTGTACTCCGCCGCCCGTTCCGGCGGGGAGACGTCCGGGTGGTACTTCCTCGCCAGCTGCTTGTACGCCTTCTTGATCGCGCTGGTGCTCCCGCTCGCCGGAACCCCCAGCAGATCGTAGAAACTCCCAGCGTTCTCCCGGACGAAACCCTCCTCGACGGCCGCACGGGGCCGGAAAGTGGACAAGCGGAGAGAAGGCCAACCGCCACCACTCCACTGAAGTTGAACGCGGCCAAATCGAACACGACCGCCACCGCCACCGCCACCTACTCTCGTGGTGGTGGGAGATAGGTAGGTCCGGTTTCGGTAGACTACTAGCCCAGCGGTCATCTCTCTCTGTCTCTCTCTCTCTCTCTATCGCGTGAGCTACCAACATTGGCGCACACTTTAAAGCGGAGTCGAGCGCTTTATGGCATTGAAGAAGTTGGTACTCCTTCCTTTCTTTCACAACCAACTTTTCGTTTTCCTTTTCTTTTTATTTTTTTTGTTTTTTCAGTATGTATTTAAGAAAAAAAATATTATTTTTAAAAATCTTATACCCCTAAAATATTTGTTGGCAATGCACATGAAAACATTTCTATAGCTATATTATATTATATTAAAAAAAATCAAAATAATAGAATAATTGAACGTCTCCAAATGAGATTTCATTGCAATATGTCAACTGTTTATAACTAAGAATATTATATATATATATATATATATATATATATATATATATATATATATATATATACTTAAATCAAATAAACTATTACAACAATGTCATTAATACAGTTTCTTTGTCGGTGTAGAATTATTACGAGGAAAACATTAAAATGATATGATTAATTTCTAACGCTGGGAATTCGTGTTAATGAAAGCTGATTATTTTGAAAAAAACATAATCTATTTTCATTAGTTATATAAATCAATTACTGATATACCAATTAAAATGATTGGTCACTATAATGTTCTATCTAATTTGATGTTCCCTTGCCCCATTAAAAGAACAAGATGATGGTGTTCTCACCGGGAAAGAAAGCTCGGCAACAACATAAGGTGCTTTAGTTTTTGTTCTTCAACATAATTGTCTCAGATGAAAAATAAGGTGAAAGGTATTAATATAATAAAATATATTTTAATTAGAGAAAAAAAAACATACATGCATCCGAATCAGCTTGTACGACAAAGTTACTATTTGTCCTTTCACACACACCTTCAGGATTTAATAAATAGATCTTATTTCTCTTTCGATATCGAATACATAAATAGATCTTATCATGGAGATGTTGATCAATTTTTAGCTATTGATTAAGATCCAAGTAAAATAATTCGATTTCAACATGTAAAATGTTGTGAAACTTTTGAAGGACAAAAAAGAGGCTGACACGCCTCTAAAGTCTGCCGTGTTCTTTAGGATGTCAATCCAGACTTTGACAATGTAGAGGCATCAATGTGATGTCCGTCACTATTTCGACGAGGTTACAAGAGACTTTTGACACTTCCACGAAAACAAACATGGATACATCATGCATGCTTCCCCAACTAGCACATTTTTTTTTTTTTCCAAAAAGGGTTATTACGATTTGGAAAATCTACATAAGGAACTATGCAAATCAATGTGCAAACAAGAAGACAAAGATTCCTCCCACATAATTGTTGATTTAGTTATCTTGGCTTTAAGAACAACAACTCATTTAGCTGCTTAGGCAAGAACCTCACACCATACAACAACACATAGATCTGTTCAACGTCTAGCACAACTATTAATCGGATTGCAGCGAGTTCTACTTCTCTACTTATATTATGGAATCAATGCAAATAATGTAAAGATTTTCTTTCTTTTCATATATCACTTGGGCACATCTGATCCGCATGAGACTGAGTGCATGCATCTTCGTAGAGACTAAAGGACAACGAACATATGAGATTGAATCCTCAACGCAAGAAACATAGACCCCAACCACCAAACGGAACCAGCTTACCTCATTTGTGTGAGAAATCTGTAGTCTTGTGCAGTAAAATCGTCACACCATCCCGAGCAAGTAGAAAACACTGCAATATTACATCCAGCTGCAACAATTTCAAGCATTTTCCAATTGATTTCAATCACCTGTTCGGATGTGCCAAAAGAAAAATTAAAGAGAACAAAAAATATTACATCATCAAGACCGAGGATAATTAAAAAAAAAAAACTATATCAAGTGCAATCTAAACAACATTTTCAAGGCATTCATATTCTACACAGTTACTAATGAAAATTTGTACCATGCGTTGCCGCTAGCAATCATAGTATGTAAAAAACCAAAACAAAACCTCTCATTCAAAGCTCTTGAATCATTGCTAAAACAACAGGAAAGAAAATTACTGATTTAGGTATATATTCTAACCAGTGTCAAGACCAACAACCGATAAGATTGAAACTAAAATCTCAATGCACCCCCTTCCGTTCAGTTTTTGGCAGGTGCACTAATGCCTGACGAGCCAGTATGGCTTCCACGACCGCCGCTTGGTCCCATATGATCAACCCTCTGGTATCCGACTTCGGTTCCACGATTTGAATATCCTCCCCTACCACCGCCTCTGCCTCCGAAATCAGGTCTGGTGTTGAAATCCCCTCTACCAAAGCCCCTTCCACCACCATAGTTACCGCGTCCTCTCCCATCATTGCGGAATCCAGCCCCTCTACCGGGTGCAAATCTTCCTCTGTTACCAACTGCAGAAATCAAATTTATAATTAGATAATCCAGGCAGAGATATCTATTTAGCTGAAAAATCAAAACGTGTGGCCACGTCTATCAGTGACTCCTCATAAAATTTAACAGGTGACATGAAGCAACATAATCTGGTCCAGATCTCATGTTCAGCTTACGATGCCATAATGATATCCTACAATAAGGTGGTACAGTTCATTTGAGTAGATGAATTGCTTAATGTGCTTATGGAGACAAACAAAATTTAAAGAAATAAATCCATTTGTGATAACCTTACAAGTGAAGGAAAGAAAACAATTTAAAATGTGGAATAATGTAAAAGTAAATATCCATGCAAAGGTCTAGAATAGAGAGTTTATCTAGCTAGCACTTGCCTCGTGAACCTGTAGCTCGCTTTTCCTCAACATAAGCTGGGCGACCTCCTATCATTATAGGTGAGGCCTGCAGTTTGAAAGAAACTCATCATAAAAATTGCTTTTCCAAACTTGAAGAAGCAGGAAAGTAAATTCTTATTCTAACTAACCAGCTTCCATCAATTTCAAGTATTCATTTTGTACTTGGAATTGAAGATATACAACAAATAAATATGGATCTGACTGTACCATTTCATAGTCCCAACATGTATATGGGTTGAACAAACAAAAATACAATGCGTAGAAGTTGTATCATTATATGCACGGACGCACATGCACATGCACGCGCGCACACACACACACATACGTATATATACCTATATGTGTGTGTGTGTGTGTGTGTGTGTGTGTGGATAGAACTTGGAAAATAATTTAATATAATCTCTGAGATCTGTTTTCATACATAATTGAAGCCAGGTAAAGTTATACAAGAGTGTATCTGCATCCTTTCCTCAGTTACTTGTTGGCAACCTATCAGATAAACGTGGAGCTCACATTGGTATCCATCTTGAATCCAAATTGAATCTATATCAATCATAGATCTGATATGTATCTATGTTAATACAAACATATATGATTACTCCATTTAGAATCCATCTAATATCAGTTTGATATGAAAAATAATTATTCCAATAGCTGGCCCATTTCACCACAAGATACAGATAACGGTGCAAATCAAAGGATATTGCAGAATTAGCAACAGATACAACAGTATTCACAATTATATTCATCCACTTCTAACCCAATTCTCTAACTAGTGTAAACCAAAATGGATCCAAAAAACATGGTGCAACCAACCATGCACCAAATCACCTACTGAATAAGGATGAACCTAAAATTCTGTTCTTTCATCATACATCAGCATATGGTTTTTCATACCATACGACCAGATTCATTAAGAAAAACAGAAAAAAGATTTTTGCCTCTACCTAGCTGGGTCCGGAAAGGAAAAGGAAAAAAAAAAGCTCCACAGCTGCCATTAATGTTTGTTTTGCTCAATAGCAAAAAAAGTTCGATGTAGCCAACCTCGAATAGTTAGGACATTACAGCTGGCATGTCTTGGTAAATTTGATGTTGAGGATTATGTAGCAAGTAGATTGTATATACTGAGGATGGCTGTATGGAAGGATAAGACCAGAAACTAATGGCAGCTAACCCTATGATTAGCCTAATATACACTTCCATAAGTTCCAGAAAATAGGTCTATACTCTTTCTCTGGAAGACCCTTGAAATTACGTTATTATATTCTGGCCAATTTGTGGTCATCTCCTGATCTTAGTTGTTATTTCATCATGTAATGTTATAAAGGTGCCCCAAAGTCAAAAGAAATTGATAAGAAAAGCAGCAGATGGTCTCTCAAGAAAGCACAAACTAAAAGATTAATCAAACTTTAACCTTGTCTTCAGAATACAGCAGGTCCATCGGCTTTCTAATCTGAACTTCTTACAAAGATACGACAAATACAAGGTAATTTTGCTCACACCAAAAATGGCTCATGAATTTTACCTCAGCAAACCTTACTCATAGTCTTTTACCACCGAAGATTCATGTCTTTTTTCTTTTAAAAACCTGTACTCTTCAAATTCCTATTCTATTTTTGAAGTTCTGTAAGAGAATCTCATTGTGGGATATTCCCACAAAACTTTTTTTTTCAATCGCCTACTCTAGCAATTAAATATCGTGTGTCAACTCATACCAGTCCCCTCTTGGACCAATATGGTATGTCGCTGCAGTATATTATATTGTAGAATCCATAGAATTTACTGTCATACTCTTCAGTGTTACCAAAGTGGTAGCAAATGTTGCTACATAGGTGCATCTCTTTTTAGGAAACAAAAAGAAAGAAAACCAAATGATATACCATGGTCTATCATCTAAATTTCATATTCTTTAGTATGTCGCCAAAAAATATAACAGTTTAAGCTGAAGCTTTGAATGTCCAATTTTCCAATATGAAGTATAAATAAGATCCACAATGATCCAGAAAGAAACGTTAACTATGTTGTTCAATTTCTATAAACCGACAGAGAACAATGTCCACTACCTATCCTTATTAAACAATTATGAATTTTTAACATCCTATGAAGGTTAGAGATTTTTCTCACCACTTTGTTTGTGAAGTTCAATCTACATCTATAATGAATGACATATAGGCCATAGGTGGGTGATGTACGGATAGAACTTGTGGACTTAAACATGACACTCATAATACATGATGAATCACTATACATGTAAAA